CGGTACCCATTCCGTTCTGTTGCATTGTTTCCTCGTCGTCGGAGCCTGGTTTGGATCACGCGTATTCGCTTCAATTCATGTACGTTGTAGTATAAGGGAATAGAACTCAGTTTAAATCCACTTCAGGCATTATTTGGATATATGTATATTCACTTTAATCATACGTGTTGGAGTGAAATGAAATAGAACTTATTTTATTTCACTCCAATTCACTTCAACACATATGGATTGAGATGAATACATACGCATCAAACAAGACCTCAACCCATATAGATTAAGATGAATACGTGCACACCGAACAAGACCTCGAAAAAACGCAGCTACAGCATCGCCCATTACGAGCACGTAATCATCATAGTGTTGCGCACGTTGCTTCTGCTCTAATCCATTTCTGCATCCGTACGTGCATCGTGGCGTACTGGATGGGGGGCACTATCGGAGCCGATCATAAGCGTTCAGCTTAAAAAGGCAAAAAAGAAAGAAAGGAAAAAAGGACACCACTGGTACGCTCATGCATGGTTGCATCACAGATAATCCTCCTTGATCCTGGACAGATCGACGATCTGCATGAATCGTGCCGCTGCACCTCTGTTGCGCGTTCGTTCCTGGATCCGGATCGCAGAAAGCATGCCAGTGGGCAATTTGCCCTGCTACTTGGAGCACACCTCCCCCCGCACGCACGCACCTCGCATGTCGTCGTCTCGTCGCTGCTCCGTTCCGTCAGAAAAAGAAAATCTCGTCTCTGCTCCATGGCGGAGCCGCGCAGGGCGCTTGTCCGGGTGTGGCGGGGCTCGGGAGGCCAGGCCGCGACCGGCTGCGACTGGCTCGGTGCGCCCCAGATGCCACGCCCCATGTGCGCTCAAAGCCGCTCGCGGTCGGCGGTCGCGGAGGCGGGACACTGGGACACGGAGGAAGCGCCCGGCAACTGGCGGGACCGCCGTCCCTCCTACGGTCGGTGGTGTCGTGCCCGCGCGCCCTGCTGTGCAGCTGGGGGACGCCGCGGGGGGCAACGTGGCGGTTGGCGAGCGCGGCGGGCCCGACGTCCCTCCTACCGGTGGTGGTGGCGGCGGGAGAGAACGGCCGGATGAGTGGATGACGACCGAGGCCGCCAGCGCCAGGGCCGTGCGAGGCGAGCGTGCGCAAATTTGAATGCGGTTGTTGGGCTTCTTCAGCCTTGAACGGGTACTGCTCCGGTGTTATTTGCAAAGAGCACGCAAGTCTTTTCCACTGATTTTACGTTTTCTGTCCAAACACAGTATCACATAAGGGACTACTGGGGTTCATATATTTTGTACAACACAGGTACAATACTCATACATGTACGTACCATAAAAAGTTTAAGATTGAGCTACCATATCTTGAGATTGATCGTCGTCGACGAGTACATCGTCTTTCATTAAAAAAACGTCACCATTAAATTCTGAAATAAATTTAGAAAATATGGACATCCACGTCAAGTCAAGGATTTTTAACATTTAAACCTAAGTGGATATGTTAGCTAGTACTATATGGCGACTTCTGTTTTGCTAGGCCCAGTGCTAAAAAAACCTGCTTTCTTACTATTACGGGTTTATTCGAAGATGAAATGTAATCCTGTAAGCAAAGTTTTTCTCTCCAAAAACATCTATAATAATAGGATTTCTAATATTCGATTCTTTTATCCAGCATGCCTGGGTTCGACTCCCATAGGAGCGAATTAAAAAGGTCTGGAATAAAAAAAATTATAAAACAAAATAGGTTGGGGTCTTCCCCTACTGACTTCGGTCAAAAATATTCGATTCTTTTACCGTATTGGGATATTTTGAATTCTTGAATAAACTAATTCAAGAAAAAACGGGGGATTGAGTGAATTAGAGAATAGACAAAGGTTTGTTGACATTTTAGCTTCTATTTTTAGTCTCTAGGTTTTTCGCTTATTACTATTTATAGAAGGGAGAAGCCGTATGGGATGAAAACCTCGTGTACGGTTTTGGAATGGAGATTTTTTAATAGAATGAATGATTGTAACGGATGTTGGTTCAATCCGAAAGATAGGTTAACCATAAGAAACCTACTACACTCAGTTGGCTTGTATCTTATTATTTGCACAAAACACTTATATATAAACCTTATTCTATGAATGCTTACGAATTGACATAGGCTGAATCACTCTATTTTTCCTAATTTTGATAGAGGCATATCTACATCTACCTTCGAAAGAACTGTCATAAATAGAAAAACATTCATGTCGAGTTAGGTATTCGAATCTAGGTAAATACGTTTCTTTTTGTGCGTCTGCAAAATCAAATACAGTACGTAACAAGCTTTTTTCAAATAGCGTGGTTGCCATAGGTGAATAGACTTTAATTTATAATCGTGACAGCTTTGGTCGATGGTTTACGTAGTTCATGGATTCATGGATTTGGCTTGGAGTTTGCATTTGACCGGGAATTTTCGCAACTACTGGTCGCTATTCCTGGCCGGCTGGCCGCTAGCTGCCATGGTCCTGGTGGATACCTCGAGGTGAGCAAGGCTGCAGCTTCAAGAAACGTTCAACCAAAAAAAAAACTCGGAAACACGACTTTTATTTTCGAGAGTTTTTTTTAAGGAACATCTCCGAGAGATTAGGTCAACTATTCAGACCCAGTACCGAGCTTCGGAGTACCTGCGGTGCATGTGGCCGGGGGCCGGCAATGACCCGGGCCTATGCGTGTTACTTTCAGTCCAAAGAAGATCAGATGAGCTAATCCATCGAGCAACTTGGGCCCCGTTTGTTTTATAAGGGGCCTACTTAAAATCCGTGTCATATCGAATATTTAGACACGTAGAGTATTAAATATAAATTAATTACAAAATTAATTGTATAACTTGCGACTAATTTACAAGATGAATCTTTTAAGCCTAATTAGTTCATGATTTGACAACGTGGGGTTACAGTAAACATGTGCTAATGATAGATTAATTAGTCTTAAAAATCATCTCGCAAATTAGCCTCTATCTATATAGTTGATTTTATAATTAATCTATATTTAATGCTCTTTATTAATATCTAAACATCCAACGTGACATAAATTTTAGGAGCGACTAACACCCTCGAACATGTGCCATGGCCCAGGCATTCCAAGCCTAACGCACGCTCGGGGTACACGCGCCGGGGGACACGTAGTGGAAACCACGCGGTAGCTTAACAAGAGAGGCGCAATTAGAGAGCCGTTTGGTCTCCCTTAACTCGGCGACCCCCTCCTTAATTCTCTACTTCCCTGCCGCCGAGGCAACCGTCCTCCCTAGTCCCTCCACCTCCACTCCCCACGCCGCGCGCGCGCCCGCCCTCTCCTCCTCCCGCTCCAAACCGGAACCGCGTCGATCCCGCGCCGTCCGCGTCCGCGTCCGCGTGGCGTGTCCAGGAGATCACACGACCCAGCGACGGGCGGCGCTGCGAGGCTGAAGACGCGGCGGCGGATTTAAGGGCCTCGCCGGCTCGATCGCTGCTGGGCCGCGCTCTCGAGGTGAGGAGGTTTCTGGCGCTTGCTGCGTGGGTTCCGGAGCTAGGGTTTAGGAGGACCTGTTTGGGGCGTAGCGCCGTCTCGATCTATACGCCGTTTTTCCTTCCTCGATTTGAGCTGGGGAGCAGGACGGCTGAGCTTGTCCGGGCGTGGGCGATCGGGGTGTGCCGATGGGAGAGGTGATTGGGCTTAGTGTTGATCGCGGGCTTGGCGGGGTCAGCTGGTTTTGGAATTCTGGATTCGTTCTCTGCTGTTTTGTAGTACGGAGAGGACGCTAGGGGTGAATTTCCGGTCGCTCTTCCTCGTGTCCTTCGCCGCTGTGCCACTTGGGCTTCTCGCTGCGGATTGTACTGGCAACTTTGGCATGGAGTGTCTCGTGATTTGGTTTGGTTAGAACACGACTCGAGCTTGGCTGCTTGCCAAGTTAATCTTGCCATTTGCAGACATTTGTTTTTGCTCCGTGCTTTGGGCACTTCGGTGATTTCGAAGCTTAATTACCCCGCGGTGCATTTTTAAAGACTAGGTGCTTCGCGCTAGTACATTACCTGTATGTATTCTTTAAAAAAGTTAAACGAACATAGTATACCAAAACCCAGCGGTAGATCCTGAATTCCAAACTAAATGACCCTCCCCATGCTGTCTGAATTTCCCAAGGAACTATTGTTTTATTCGCGCAACAATGCTGGCAACATGTGCATTACCTTTGGGTACAACGAACTTTTATATCATTAGTCGATTTTGTCCAAGTGAATTCTCGGCAACTTCTATGTGCACTGTCATATTTTTCCCTTGTCTCTGTCATGGCGGGCATATCCTTGATGCATGTGCATAGCTCATAAGTGGCAAGTATTAAAAAATGTCCCTGTTTCCCATGCTGCTTCTGGAGAGAAATTATTAGGAAACTGATTCGTCTCACATCACATGCATGTGCATTGTCCTGTCTGTTCTAAAACCATCAGAATCTCCGCGAATAATGTTTATTTGCTTTGTCCCTTGCTCAATTGATGTATGATCCCATGTAGCAGCTGCCATTTGTCCAAAAGATCTTCTTTTTTATGCTTTATAGTAGATCTACAATGCATTTATACATTCTGATGCCACCTTCCTCCCCTGTTTCCTAGCCTCCATCTAGTCACCCCCTTCCCAATTTGCCATTATATCCAGACGAGAGGGCTTTGGGGCACTAACTGTAGCTGTTCAAAGTTTCGGAGATTGAAATTGGTAAAATTTCATTTCCATATGCAATTCAGTCACCTACAATTTGTGGTTTTATGGATGACTCAGGGTTCATTGTTTTACATGCTAATTTGGTGCCCTTTGTTGTTTTTGTTCTTATGAGCAGAAAGTTCATGTTGCTTGTTTCAAATTGAAATTTAGATCAGCTCTGTTCTTAATTTGAGGCTTACCCTATTTATTTGGTGTCTGGTTGTGTGCCGTTAGGTACATATTGGTTGTTGCAGCAAGCTGGTTTCCTGAGATCCACATTGATGTGGTTTGTTCTGGAAATTTCTATTCGTCATGGATGCTCTTAAGAGCTATGCAAAGAAGGCTGATCTTGCTGATGAGACTCTAAGACCACCACTAGTTCCATCAGAGAAGCACAATGCTTTCCGAGTGAGGGATGTTGCATCCAGGTGCAAAACTGATCTGGCTGATGCCACTAAGATAAGGCGATGTACATCACCAAGTCTTGGCCAGACCTCAGCACCTGAAGGCACACCAGCACCCAAAAGAGCTCAATCAGCAGATAGAAGAAGGCCGTCGACACCTTCAACCCCTCCCTCTAAGGTGTCAACACCCTCAACGCCTGCATCAAGGTCCATTACACCAGTTCGTGATACCACTAGAGACTTACACAAGAGTTCCAAGCGTATAGCAAGCACAAAGGCTCCTGATGGCCTGTGGCCAGCAATGCGTAACTTGTCTTCCTCCTTCCAGTCGGAATCTGTGGCTGCACCTACTACAAGAAAAGATAAGGTAGTCACTGCCTTGGATTGTAGCAAGGGGCAGGCGAGTGTTCTAACCGAGAGGAAGAGAAGTCCTTTCAGAAGGAGAAACATTGGTGAACATTGTGAGAATGCTCAACCTTCAGAGGAGCCCCCTAAGAGGGTAATTGAGCAACACAGATGGCCAGCCATGATAGCTGGGCAGGCGCCAAAGAATTTCATGTCAAGAAGCATTGACCTTTCTGACAAAGCTACTAGACCAGTCCTATCATCAAATACATCAAGAGGTCTTTCGCCAAGGAAGGCACCTTCTGTTGGACCAGTCCAATCATCAAATACATCAAGAGGCCTTTCACCAAGGAAGACCCCTTCTGCTGAGGCTTCAGTCAAACTGTCGAATCAATCATTGGATGGAGTGGCAAGGAGTTTGGCTATTCAGGCAAGCAGAAGAGATGATAAGGTAGATTCACAGGCAATAGAGAGATCCAAATCTTTGAGCCGACCAAACAGAACAGTTACTTTTCCTGTTCCAGTACTACAACGCTCATCATCACCAAGCAGAGCGTTGCCAGCTACGTCCTCAACTTCCAGGGCCTTTCAGAGCCCATCTCGGACAAGGCCTTCAACACCCTGTCGGTCCCAAAGTGCTGGAGCTATCCAAGCAAGTGTTCCGTCTCCTCTTATTAACTACATGGTTGATGCGCGAAAAGGAAAGAAGAATGCCAGCCAAATCGAAAATATTCACCAAGTGCGTTTATTGCACAATAGACATTTGCAGTGGCGCTTTATAAATGCTCATGCAGAAGTTGCTTTATCTTTTCAAAAGGCTACTGTTGAGGTAAAAATTAGCAAATTATCTAGTTGCTCTTACTTTTTTTAATCTAATTTTACTTTAATTGGCCTGGTTTGTGTCATTTTGCCTTGTTCTTTCTTGGATTCCAGTACTTCATGCAGTTAGAGGCTTAGAGCAACCTCTATGATAACATAACAGCAGTTCATGTAATACTTCCTCTTCACAAGTTAACCTTGCAGCTGCAAAATATATACACAAAATAGAACATAAGCTTTCTGACTAGGGTACTAGGCACTTTTCTTCCAAAATCAATTGGTTTTGTAGTTATAGTACCAACTGTTTGACCAAAATAGCTGAGAGAAACTTTTTACTCTGTAAAATTTGCCCATATCTATGATTTTATGTTTAGAAGTTTGTTTGTGATCTACTACTCCTTAGAATTGGAACTTTTTTGGTGTACTTGTTTATTTTTAGTTTTTTGAGTGATTTTATTCATGAAACTAGTTTTCTGTCTTCTTATGTGAAACAGAATACCATTTATAATGTTTGGAGGAATACTATAAACCTGCGGGATTCTGTTAATATGAAAAGAATAATGGTGCAACATTTTCAGCAAGAACTCAGGCTTTACAACATTCTGAAAGAACAGGTACATTCCAGATCATTACTTGCTACACGGTACTAGTATAGTATTACTATTGTGCTAGCATGATAATGGTAAAATGTGGAAAAAAAAGTTTGCATTGTTCGATTGCATTGAACAGCACATTATATAAGTATATATTTATTTATCACATTATCTTTTCAAAGGAGGATGGTACAAAATAACAAAACATAAAAACTATGACTATTTGCAGTACTTTTTTTAGCACCCGTATTGCTGTAGTTATTACCGTCGATCAAATGCACAGATCAGCATTTCTAAAATATGCTGTTGTTTTGGTTCAGATTGCTTACCTTGAACAATGGCCAACACTAGAAAGGCAGAATAGTATCTCTTTATTAGGGGCAACTGAGGCTCTGAAAGCAAGCACCCTGCGCCTGCCAGTTACATCGGGGGCAAAGGTATGCTAGGAACTCTATTAACTGAATTGCACACATTTTAGTATGCTGTTCTTGTGATTTCTGCCATGTTATTGACTATCATATGAACAGGCTAATGCAATTGCTCTCAAGAATGCTGTAAGCTCAGCTGTTGATGTCATGCAAGTTTTGGGCTCATCTGTTTGCTGCATGCTTTCAAAGGTCAGATAATTGCATGCATTTGACTTTGAATTTAGTATTCACTTTTATGTTGGTTTCTTTGATAAAATGAGGTCTTTATGTCATAGAGTATGTGCTCATTCTGCACAATAGCTATACAAAAGAATGTTTCAGATGCTCACCGCATATAGTTGATGTTAAGAAAGCAATGAGAAATGTTCTTCTCTGACAAAGAGAGTGATAAACCCACATTCTTAAAGTTTATGGAACTCAATAGATTATGACTCATCTACTAGCATTATCTTTATATTCAACCAAACTATCTCTGATGACAGTTTGAGAAGGTGTGCACCTTGAGGTGTGATTTAGGCCTGGAGCTTTATGAGTGGTCCATTCTAGTCCCAGATCTTTACGGATGGGTGTGAAAACTGTTTCCATTAAAAGCATTTGCTATCCATTGTACCTCTGAGCCATTAACAGATGCCCCTATTCTCCAAATAAAAGGATACCCAAACCAATTATCTCGCACTTGTTAGTGCTTAAAAACTTGTTTTACACAGTCTGAATAGGACCTTTACAAAACTCATGACCCCAGGTAGAAAATGATATCCTTTTAGTATTCTCCTTGTTAAGGTTTGTTTTGATTAACATTACAATATCTTAACAGGTCATGGACAGCACATCCTTGGTTTCAGAACTCTCTGTCATAGCAGGACAAGAGAAGGTCATGCTTGATGAATGCAGAGAACTCTTAGCTACAGCTGCAAAACTGCAGGTACTTACATTCTGCCTAATCTAATAAGTGCAGTTGACTGAAAGTTTAGAGGCTATAGTATCCCGCCACATTGGTTTTATATTGCGGCCCTTCAGTACCATGCTGTTTAATTGTTTATCCACTAATTGGGAATCAACCTATCCTCATTACTTTTGCACGATCTTTATCATCAGAAATCAAGGGTCCTAGACTACAATTTCGTAATTGCTTTCTACATTATATATGTGTAACTTGGTACAAAGGTACTGTTGTTGTAAAAGACAAGGTGTCCACATAAATTCAACAGTTGCAATTAATGAGTTGTGATATTTAGATCAGAGGAGAAATAGAGTTGAATCTTTTCTCTCCAGGTTTAGTATGTAAACTATGTCTCCTACCAGTAACTTTTATCGTCTCACCATTCACCTTAGCTTGGAGTATTGCATGCAAAATTAACTGTAGCCTATGTACTTAACACCACTGAGTTTGTTATAAGAAAGAAGCCATTGAACTGTATTAGAGGAAAGTAGGCTTGTACAATACTTGACCATTGATGTTGAATACTAGTCTCACATCGATGGATCAACTGTTTTACGAGTTTTCTTCTTGAGAGACATGGTCACAGCAGCTTGTGCACAAAACTTAGCTATTTGTTCCCGATTTCTGTTCAGGTGCAGGAGGCGAGCCTACGGACACATCTTGTGCAACAGAGACAAAGGGCTTCAGGATTGAATTTGGCAACCTGAACAAGATGCAGAAACCCCAGGCCATGCCATTGAACAGGTACAACTGCGCAAGTTGAACCTGCAACTATAAGAACTGCAAACAGAAAAGAAATCTGTAGAGACGAAACAATAGGAACAAAACAAATGTTAAACATCCCCTGGAGATTCATGGTGTGATGCGACAGTTAACTACCCGCAGTGCATAGATATGACAGGTTTACTGAAAGACCTCATCATATGTAAATGGTTTTCACCATATAATGCACTCCCAGCCTTTTCTAGTAAATTTTTCCTTATTTTTGTTCCTTGTATAGAGTGGAGCCCTCTTCTTTCCCATTGTATTTTTTGACATTTGGAAAGAAATACATAGATGAAATGGATGGGCTGAGATGTTGATATCATTTTTTACAGCATCCCTTTTTTGAAACCTATATACTCCGTATAACATTTATTAACTGTGCTCTCTTTGGTAAAGTAACCAACTTCAGCGTTATATTTTGAGTGCTGTCATCGTATACACGTTCAGATTTATCTTTTCTGTACCCGAAAGTACTGGTGCTGAACATCACATCAGTTTTTATAAGCGGATGGTAACTCACCTGGAGTATGGATTGCTGTTTACTCAATAGATAACACTGGTGCCAAAGACACATCAGTTTGTTGAACTATAGACTTCGCTTGTTCTGCATTTTGCTTGTGTTGCCAGCAAAGTTTTAATGTTAATGTATCACCTTCAGCATTTTCAGGCCCTTCACCTAGACTCACTAAAGTACGATTAAGCAAGAGCATCCAAAAGTGAATCTCATTGCTTGAATTCATGTGCAGATTGTAAAATCCAATTTTGAAACGATGGTGCCCTTGCCTGAATGGATGGCTTGGGCTGAATTTGCTACTCCGTCCATTGCAAATTATAAGACGTTTTGATTTTTTTGTATACATAGATTTTGTTTTGTATTTAAATATATATTACGTCTAGATATATAGCAAAAACTATAAAAAGAGGCAGACCCACTGCCGGAGGCTCCCACATGAGTGGGGTCTAGGGAAAAGAAAAATCGAGGCAAGCCTTCCCCCGCAAAATCTACGGAGAGGCTGCTTCGAACCCACGACCTGATGACTCAGTGAGACAGCTCTCACCACTGCACAGGTCTGCCCTTTTTTTATAGTTTTTGCTATAAAAACTATGTATATAGAAAATCCAAAACGTCTTATGATTTAAAATAGAGGGAGTGGTTGCTATCAGGATTACATTTAGCACGACTGCACGAATATCATTTGCCATTTAACATTCATTCAAACCTTGTTCTTTGCTCGATTCCTCCTCCGACAATTCTGGGTCCCAGAATATTTTACACAAAACATAGCATAAGCTTCAAAACATCAACAATACAAAAATTCTAAATTGTTGTTTCTCCCTATGCACAAGCTCCAGAATTTTTTGAATCTTAATAAACAGCTCAGCAGTTGATGCCACACTGCCTGACGTCCGGGCCCTTGGTCCTGACGATGAAGGGGTCGATCCTGACCCAGAGCAGGGAGAAGATAGAGGCCAGCAGCACGGACCAGATGACAACAATGGTGGGCGTCCGGTTCTGGCGCCCCATGAGCCCCTTGAGGAACGGGTAGAGGTGGACGATGACCCAGAAGGCGAAGAAGAGCTTGCCGAAGAGCGGGCCCCAGGACTGGTACCCGTTGTTGATGGCGTCGGAGATGCCGGCCACGACGCCGATGATGTTGATGATGAGCAGCGTGGTGGGCGGGATGAGGAGCGTGGTCCACTTGAAGGCGTAGAGCTCGGCGAACTCGTCGTCCTCGTCGCCCGTGGCCTTGGAGGTGACGGTGAAGTTGGTGTCGATCCCGGCCAGGACCTTGAGCAGGCCCTGCACGACGGCGAAGAGATGCGCGGACACGCCGCCGATGACCCAGAACTGCTCGTTCCTCCACCACTCCTCGATGCTCACCCCGCTCCACCGCATCTCCAGGATGCCCGTCGCGAAGATGGACATGAAGAGGGCGATGAAGAAGAGGCTGGCAAACGTGCTAATCTGCAGATACATACACATGGCAGGGTGTCAGGGGCAACATTTGAACCGGTGGTTTGGGCGGGAATTAAGGCAAGGCCGAGGTAGAAGGCGGTGGCACTGACCGACGGCATGATGAACTTGCCGGTGAGGAGGCAGACGGCGGGGAGGGTACAGTAGGCGAGCAGCGGCAGCGAGGTGAAAGGGTAGATGGTGGTGTTGATGTAGGCGAAGCGCTCCAGCCACTTGAGGTTGCCGTTCTTGTAACCGTACAGCAGTGGGCTGTGGCGGCTGAAGAAGATCTCGACGGACCCCAGCGCCCACCGGAGCACCTGGTTGAGACGGTCGGATAGATTGATCGGCGCCGACCCCTTGAACGCCGCCCGCTTCGGCATGCAGTACACCGAGCGCCACCCGCGGCAGTGCATCTTGAACCCCGTCAGGATGTCCTCCGTGATCGACCCGTAGATCCACCCCAGCTGCATTCAGTGCAGCACCAACGGAACAGACATTGCAATTCATCACTGGCTGGAGAAATGCAGGGAGCTTAGCGAAATCGATGATTTCATTCAGTGCCTTTACCTCCAGTCCCCAGTCGGTCTTGTCCTCGTAGCCGCAGCTGATGACATGGATGGCCTCCTTGAGGAGCGCGGCGGGGCTCGACGACGGAGGGACGCCGCCTTCCTCCATGATCGTGGACGTGACGAACGCCGCGGACTGCCCGAACCGCTTCTCGAAGTTCATCTGGGACATGAGCATCTCCTTGTCACTGTCCACTCCTGAAACAAGGAAGAAACACAGGGTGTGCAGCTCCATCAGTCTTCAGAGACACCTAGTAAGAGACTTAACTGAATGTTGTGCAGGAAGGTACTGTGTTTCAGACATCTGAAACTGAAACTGAAACTCACCAATGTCCGCGGTGCCCTCCGGCAGCCCGTCCTTGGCGTGCTTGCGCTTCTTGCGGCCGAAGCACGGGCAGCAGTCGCAGGTCACCATCTTGGGCCTCTTGGGCCCCTTGGGAGGGTTGTAGCCGTAGAGCGCCTGCCGCCGGAACACGCACCCTGTCCCGACGTACACCGGGCCCTGGATGCCGTCCAGCCCCTTCATGTTGATCTGATTGATCACCAAGAGGAGAGCTACCAGTGTCAGAAACTCAGAACCCATCGATTGATCGCTCGCTCGCTCATGGTTAATTTGATCTGCAGGAGCCAGGAGGCTTACGTCGAAGAAGACGGTGTTCCTGTTGGCGTATCGGTCGTGCGAGTCGATGCCGTCGAACCTCTGCGGGAACTGCACGTAGCAGACCTTCCGGCCGACCTGAGGATCCATGAGGAAGCACATGGCTTCCCGGATGGCCTTGCTGTTGTTGATGTAGTGGTCACAGTCCAAGTTGAGCATGAAGGGCGCGTTGGTCAGCACGGCGGAGACTCGGATCTGTCGGAATTCGGCAAACGAAAAGCCGTTTAGTTCAGTTCAGAGAGTCTCGTCACTCGTCGGGCTGCTGGCATCGTTCGTTGCCTAGTCGTTCAGTTCAGTAATCAGTACGTACCAGAGCGTTCATGGCGCCGGCCTTCTTGTGGTGCTGGAAGCCCGGGCGCTTCTCACGGGAGACGTACACGAGGCGGGGCAGCTCGTTGCCCTCGGTGTCGTGGCTGCCGCTGTGGCCCAGGAACACCTGGATCATGCCGGGGTGGTCGCGGGTGTTGTTCCCGGGCCACGGCGTGCCGTCCTTCATGATCCACCCCTCTGCCGGCACCTTCATGGCCTTGGCCACCAGCGCATTGATGCGGACCTTGAACTCCTCGTACTCTCTCTGCCATTAGTAGAGTAGTGCCAGATCAATCAGCAAGCATGATACGTACAGCGTTCTTGCATTGAGAAATGCATGGAAACCATGGATGGATTTGATGTGCAGACTAAAGTACCTTCATGGCGCGGCGCTCCTGCACGAAGGTGGTCTGCACCTTGTCCTTGAGGTAGTCGACCTTGAGCGAGAAGTAGAACTCGGGCGCGCGGGGCTCGATGCTGAACTTCTTGCAGAACGGCACCCACTTGCGCGCGAACTCGGCCGTCTCCGACAGCGCCTCGAACGTGAGCATGGACGCGCCGTCGTCGGAGACGTAGCAGGACACCTTGTCCACGGGGTAGTCCACGGCGAGGATGGAGAGCACGGTGTTGGCGGTCACCAGCGGCGGCTCCTTGAGCGGGTCCACCGTGCTCACGAAGAGGTCCACCGCCGACAGCAGCGACGGCTCCCCTTCCCTCTCGTACCGGAGGGTGAGGCGGTCCAGGTACGTCTCGCGGTCGATGGGGAACCACTTGGGGAACTGGTCCAGGATCCAGGAGATGGCGAACCAGATCTCGCAGATGATGGAGACGAGCCACAGCCCGATGGCGTCCGGGACCGGGTGCAGGATGCGGTAGCGGAGGAAGAAGGCGAGCACGACGAGACGCACCACGATGACCATCCGGTACGGGTTCACCTTGCTCGACGCGATCGACACCTTCCGCGACAGCGGCTGCCGAGCCTCGTCGTCCCTGCTCGTCGATCGTCGATCAAGAGCAAAAGTTCAGGTGATCGATCTGTGTCTGTGTGTTGTTGGGAAAGGAAAGGATACGCTGTTGTAGTGGAACAGCGGAGCTGGAGCTGGTTGGAGGGATCGGAGGTTTACAGTGGCACGTCGGCGTCCATGTCTTCGGGATCGCCGCCGCCGCCGAGGATGCCCTGCTTGGACTTCCAGTCGTCCATCCTCTCCTTCCAGCTCACTTCTTTCTTCTCGTCCCACTTGGCACTCCCTGGCGAAATCGAATCCATCCATCAGGTATATATAGTGATCAAATCTCGTATGATTTGAACTTGCTTTAAACCAACATTTCCTTTTTTTTATTACTAGCAAAGTACTAGCAAATTTGATGATGAACAGGGACGAACCTGGCTCAGACACAGGGTAGGGATGGATGCGCTTGTGCAGGGAAGACGAGAGCTCGCCGTGGCCATAC